TGGAGGTGACACTATCATGTCGGGTACGTTGTGGGGGAGGCGCTCTTGCATTCAGGTAAAAAGTCTATGGTGACCATAGAGTTTTTACCTGAATGTTAGAGCATCCCCTAAATGATGTGCCTAGCACAATGGTGTCACTTCTGGGTGATGTCATCACGGTGTGTGTGCTCTGCGTGCACGCCAGGAGACTCCAGGAGCCAAGCTGGAAACCCCCACCGAGCTCAAGATAAGACCTGGCAACCCTAGCTCCACCTCCTGCAGCAGCCATTTTATGGTTGCACACTAGGGTTGCCAAGTCGCGGCGCGGGATCGTATGACTTCGCAGAATCCGTGCTGTGGGGACGGCGAGACGCGTTGCACCCACCGTCGCCAGGATTTGACGCAGCGCATTGCTCTGGCAATGGGCCTATGGCACACACCACCCTGTGTCAGAATTCCAAAGGTGCTTGTGGGCTCAAAAAGACAGTCCCAGTGGGGCATTTCGGGGCTCTGTCCCCTAAAAAAGCCCCACCCCACAAACAGCCATGCCAGAAACCTTATGTTTTAGGAGAGACCCCCCTGCTGCCTGAGGACCAGGCTCAGTGGGGCATTTCGGGGCACTGTCCCCTTAAAAAAAGCCCCACCCCACAAACAGCCATGCCAGAAACCTTATGTTTTAGGAGAGCCCCCCCTGCTGCCTGCAGTGGCCAGGGTGAGAGCACTGCAGCTTGCCCTCCAGCATCCCTCTTCCTCCCACTGTGGAATCTTGGGGGGCATCACGGGACCTGGCATTCAAATGCCTTTTGAGTTCCCTTCCACAGGGCAAGAAAGCTTAAAAGGGCACTTAAGAATGGCACCTTCAATACATCTCCAATAACCCCCCTTAAAGACAGGCATTCAGGGTAATTTAATGAATTTTAAATTTAAATGCCCCCCCCCAAAAAAAAATCTTGGCTATGTGCTTGCTGGGGACCCCTGGTCTACTTGTAGATTTGGGAATCCTTCAGCAAACATGATTCCCACAGACCAGCCTGCACATGTTCTGTTTGTGTTCATGAAAGTTATTTCATATGCTTCACAAACTGGTAGCTTTTGTCATTGGAAAACAAATCCATTGTTAAGAACGTAGCCACATGTGTGGGTCTCAGAAGAAGGCCTTTCCACACCACAGTCCCTCCAGACCAGGTCCATAGCAATTGTCATGGTTTTCCTGATTTTTTGGGTTGCCAGCTCTGGGCTAGGAAATACCTGGAGATTTGAGGGGTGGAGCCTGGGGAGGGTGGGGTTGGGGGAGGAGCAGGGTATAGTGCCAAAGAGTCCACCTTCCAAAGCAGCCATTTTCTCCAGGGGAACTGATCTCGGTCATCTGGAAATCAACTGTAATAGCGGGAGATCTCCAGATGCCACCTGGAGGCTGGTAACCCAACTGATTTTCCACATTCCGTGAGGAGATCCTTCTCCTGCAGTGCTTAGAACTTTGCTGGAACACTCAGTTAATTTTCAAATCTTATTACAGAAAGGGAAGAAGTGACAAGCCATAGTTTAGTTTATGCTCCTGTTAGTGTCCTTATTTTTTGCAGCATTTGACTGAGAAGAGAAAGGATATTTAAGCCCCCCTGCCATCTAATTGCTCCTTCCTCCCTTTGGCTTAATATCCTGGAAGACCAAAGGTATTGTGTGAGGGAACAAGCAATGGTTTATTTTGCACTGCGATTAGCATTTGGATTCGATCCCATTAGAACAGCATTGTTCTGCGTGTACAAGTGGTATTCACATACAAAGTTGTTTTTTTTAAAAAAAAAACCCCAATTCTCCCTTTTTTGAAACTCTGCTTGGTTCCCTGACATGCTGAGAGCTGTTGACTGTAAGGTGGTTTGTTGAATCAAGATTCCAAGATGAAAAATTTGGCACTGCAGCATTAGTAATTGGAGTCTGAGCATGCAGAACAAAAGCAGGGCAGGCACACCCAACAGCTCTACCCACTTACCAACATTCTTGCCCCACCCGAGAGAGAACATGAAAAAACTCCCAGTGGAGCCTCCAAATATGTAGCCTTAGGAGACAGATTTTTTGTGTGTGTCCTGAACTGTAGGCTTTACCATCCATTTTAAGAATTTAAACAGCAAACAGTGCAACTGTTTTACGGGAGATTAACACATGTGCATATGTGTTTGTAAGAAAGAGCCAATGTGCCTTCACTTTGCAATTGCTGCAGTTAAAACCAGGGACGAGTACCTGGGTAAATGTGGGGTTGGTATCACATGTTCGGTTGTACGTTTGTGGAAGGTAGCATGAGAATTACCCTATGCATGTATTCTAAAAAGATCAAGTATACTTAGGGTTTAGGATTACAAACTCTGGGTTGGAAAATTCTTGGAGATTTGGGAATGGAACCTGGGGAGGATAGGGACCTCTGTAGGTACAATGCCATAGAGTCCACCCTTCAAAGCAACATTTTCTCCAGGGGAGCTGATCTCTGCTGTAATTCCAGGAGATCTCCAGACCCCATCTGGAGTCCCCCAGTGGGGCTAGGGGATCCTCCACACTTGCATCTCATTTCCTGCTTCCATTCAGATATAATAAATAAATAAAATGGCTGTTGGGACATCGGTGTGTGTTTTTCCCTCTGGAAAAGACATTATCTCTGTCTATGAATTATCAGACACTCTGTGGTAAGACCACAGTTTCTATCATTTCCTAGGGATTACTGATATCACTTCCAAGTTTTCTCCTCTTTAAGTAGTTCCTAGAGAGAACTGATGCCACTTCCATGTTTTCCCAGAAGTGATAGCATGCCGTTACTGGTGGCTGGTTCCCCCCATATTCTTGCCCCAGGTCTCCTGCTGGTTGACAGCCTAGCAACCCTAAGTGTGTTCTGTATATACATTCACTCAATGTAACTTGTGAACAGAGATTCAGTGGGTGACCCTGGGCCGATCAGCCTAATCTACCTCCCAAGGTTGTTGTTTATTACTGGTTGCCAGCTGGCCAGGAATAAAATGTCTTGTCCATTTAATAGGGGTTTAATATACAGGAATGGCAGGTGAAGGTTTTCATAGCTTACTAGCTGCAGTTAAAACTGCTGTTACAACCCGAGGGACACGGTTAAAAGTTGGAAACCAGTGGTACTCCACGTACTAGGCAGACCAGCCGATTGCTTAGGGTGCCAGAGGGTGTGTGCGTGGGGCAGGGGGGAGGCTCCAGGGGCACCAAAAGAGATTTGCTGGTGATGTGAAGTAGGGTTGCCAACCTCCGGGGGGGGGGGGGGAGGGGGGCAGATCTCGCAGAATTACAACTGATCTCCAGATGGCAGAGATCAGTTCCCTCACAGAAAATGGCTGCTTTTGAGAGTGAACTCCATGGCATTATACCCCGCTGAGGTCTTTTCCCTCCCAAACCCAGGCCTCTCCAAGTTCTGCCCCCCAAATCTCCTAAGGATTTCTCAGTTTGGAGTTAGCAACCCTACAAGTGACAGCTCTGAGGGCCCCTGTGCCACATACTGCATCACCTTGCTTGTCTTCTCCTGTTCCACCCTGCCCGGGCAAAGGAGGGAGGAAGAACAGGCAGTCACCAGCTGTGCTGTGCTGGGCTCTGTGTGTCTTTTCTTTGGCTTTGGAGCATGCACAGGGTTGCCAGTCTTCCAGTGTGGCTAAGGATCTCCTGGAATTACAACTGGTCCCCAGGTTACAGAGATGAGTTCTCCTGGAGAAAAGAGCTTCTTTGGAGGGTACTCTATTGCAATATACGCTGCCAAGGTCCCTCCCCTCACAAAATCCTGTCCTCTCCAGTGGGGATGCTAGCCTCCTGGTGGTACCTGGGGACTACCAGACTACAGAGATCAGTTCTCAACACTCTATTGCAAGGTCCCTCTCCTCCCTAAATCTTGTCCTCTCCAATGGGGATGCTAGCCTCCTGATGGTACCTGGAGACTACCAGACTACAGAGATCAGTTCTCAAGGAGAAAATGGATGCTTTGGAGAGTGGACTCGGTGGCATAGTACCCCCTGAGGTCCCTGTTTTACCCAGTCTACACCCTCAAATCTCCACGAGTTTCCCAAACTAGTGCTGACCATCCTACCCCTCCCCCCAACAGTGTCCAGGTAGGACCTGACAACCCAACTCCCCAGGCTCCACCCCCCAAATCTCCTTCCAGACACTGGTTTTCCAGAGGGTGTAGTGAGACAAGACTGCACAGCCACCAGTAACTTCTCAGTTATCTGTCATGATGACACTGTGCTAGACAGTGCGGCTGTTATGAAGGAATCAGCTTTCTCAGCAATCAGACCACTAAGTACAGTTGCTGTGAAACAGCTCCCCCCCCACCGGTAAGCACAGTTATCCTTGGTGTTTTGTGGTTGTGCTGATGGGCACCCACTGAATGGGCCTCTGACAGAATAACACAGATGCACCCAAGGACTCACTGCATCGCTGTTTCATGTTGAATGTTCCAGAGTCTGAATCAACGTTGATCTCATTCTTTGTTCTTCTTATTTCCCAGAGATTGTATCTTCATCTTCTCCACCATGGGCACAGACATCTCATTTTCATCACCGCCCCCCGCCCCCCGGTTGATCCCTACATCACAGACAGCACTGGTCCTTGGGGTCCCTGTTGGTAGGATACAGTCCAATGTAGGTGAAGCACTGTGAATATCCAACAGCAATATACAAATGCTACGTATTAAGTAAGGGAAAAGCCTATATGTCTTTAGAAAAGCAACAATGGGTATGAAAAGAGATTTCTTCTTCACTTCTATATTTCCTTACAAAGGGTACAACAAAGAAAAACCAATCTGCTCTTCCTTTGCTGTCTTAAAGACAATACAGTTCTGTATTCTTAAATGTACATTCGTTGCAGAGCTGGTGAAAGGATCGGCAGTTCTGTGTCTCAGGCATTGCTCACTGTCTAGAAGGTATGATGAGTTATACTGTAAATGGGTGTGTCCTGTCTGAAGAGATCATTGAATCATTCCTTTTATCATTGCTGCACCCACAGGAACTTATTTCCTCAGGTGAGGCCGTGTTTAAAGACGACGAGCGAAAGACGATAGCTCAGACAACCAGGTGAGGGATTCAGGTCCCTGTAAATGAGAGGAGAAAAAATCTAGCACCAGAGCAGGTAGGTCCTGTGCAGCAGGGGAGTCTGGAGATGGACATCACCCCCCTTTGCCCCAGCATCTATGGCAACGGAGTTCTTAACCTCTTCTTCAAGGAACTTTTCCTTTGCTTCTAGCTGGCTATTGATTCACAGTTGTGGGGATGTGGGTGTATAAATCGAGTGACTGAGTCTTTTTTTAATACATTTCATCATATTAAAGGCTTGCAAATCTCTAAAGATTTAAGGAACGTTATTATTCAAAATGAAGTAAAATAAAAAGGAAGACAAGCAGGTAAGGACGAGGTATACTGCACCTACAGCGTTAAAAGCTGTGTCCTTGCTTTATGTCTACATTTAAGCGTTATGTGTATGCCATGTATTTGTAGATAGATTTTTAAAACACAGCTCCAAAGGTAATAAAGTCCTGTCTGAATACTCAGGTTCTCCAAAGTCTGAGTCGAAATGTAGTGTTTTGTTTTGTTCCCCTGCAGAGAACAGAATAAAAGAACAAAATGCAGTTGATGAGTGCCTTGGAGAGAGTCTTTGTGGGTAGATACTTATACAGAAAGATTTTAAGTAAACACACACAAAGGTAACCTGAGATCAAGCTATGAATTCCGAAGTAATAGAGCACTGACTTTAGATGCCAACACTTTTGGGTTTAGCTTTTCTCTTTCAGAAACAGGCTGTGAAAATTAGCCTGTGCAAAGCCTTGAGCTTATTTAGTGCAGGAAGGATGCATATAAATGCACGGGGGCTATTTGATCTACACTGTGACTGCAAAGTATAAAAGTGCATCACAGGACAATTTGATCACTGGTGAGGTATCATTGTGTCAGCATTGCAACTGCAGCGTCAGCACTGAGTTGTCCTATCATACACCATTCCTGATTTAAAAGAAATAGATGCTAATGCGCATATGTTCTAATGCAGCAGGCATTGCTCTTGCTACAGCAGGTTTTTCATTCACTTCAGTGAAAAGGACAGCTTTGCACATCTGGCATCATCCCTTTGCAGCCTTTTGGGTGCACAGAGCTGTCTCCTGCATTGAAGGGAGGGAGAGCCCTTGTGGCTAGGAAGGTCTGTGTGGAGTGACAGTGTGCGTCTTACCCATCCCATCTTCTTCGTAATGTGTATAGACTGAAGGAAAGAGAAATGATATAATGGCAAACCTGGGGCTGAGGGAGGGGGTCAAAGGCTTGGTTTGCCCTTCTCCTCCTCATCATTTATGTACATTTTTAATCTTTATTTCAGGTGGCTCTTTAGTCTTGTGGACACTCATCATGTGGATAATCCTTTTTATTCTAGGTAAGTATGCCTATCCCTAGGCATGCCTTAAAAAGTGAAAGCCTTTGAGACAATATTTTAGATGTCACTGAGATTTAGAGGTAAATTCTGTTGTTCTAAAGATATTTAAATATAATCTCTGTTTGAAACGGGTTAAAGAGGTTATACACCTCCTGCCAAGATTCCTCACAGGAAGTACTTGCCAGTACAAAAAAACTGTGGCAGCCACAACTTCAGTATCTGCCAGATTTAGTCAAAAGATGCTGCTGTGTTACTCCCCTCCCCCCACAGATACCAATACTTAGTGTGTAGACAGAACTTTAAAGTGCTTTGCACTTTATCTCAGTAATCACTACAACAACCTGACAAAGTACCAGGTTTGCCCTGTTGCAGATGTATTGAAGAGAAAATGGCTTGCCAAAGCCTCTTAGCTCCTTGACAGCTGAGTTGAGATTTCGATACAAGGACTGGCTGGTTCATAACATAGTCTAGCGAGCTACGCGAGCTCTCCACTGCCTTTATTGTGGTAGATTCACTGATTGTAATTGTCAAGCTACAGGCATCTGTTGCACCCCTGCTAAAAAAATGTAAGCATTTTATTTAAGCAATAAAGGCTAACCCCTTCAGCGGTAGTGTTTCCCAGTGTGTCAAGCAATGTAGTGGCCACTGTGTTACTAGTATCAGTCACAAGAAAAAGAAGTTTGCATATCCACTTGACCTGTTCTATATTCAATGTTTAATCTTGGACTGCTGTAGTTAAAGCAACTAGGATGTATGTAGCCTTTAGGGATGTTGCCCCCTTTTGACCCAATGGATGGCAGTCTTAAAATCTGGTTCTCATTTCACTCTAGCTTCATCAGACCTCTTGGCTGCACAGAATACCTGCTCAGATGGGGCTTGTTACCCACCTGTGGGAGATCTTCTCCTAGGCAGAATCCATCATTTGAAAGCCTCCTCCACTTGTGGACTTGTCCAACCTGAAACTTACTGCACTCCATATGGTGAAGTATGTATGAGCCTAAATATCTTTAGAGTTGCCAGCTCCGGGCTGGGAAATAACTGGAGATTTGGGGTGGGGGTGGTGGAGCCGGAGAAGGCAGGGTCTAGGGATGGGAGGGGCTTCAGCTGTAGAGTCCACCTTCCAAAGCAGCTCTTTCCTCCAAGGGAGCTGATCTTGTTCATCTGGAGATCAATTGTGATAGTGGAAGATCTCTAGGTGCTACTTGGAGGATGGCAAACCTATACAGGAAAAGCACACATTTCACAGTGCTGAGAGTTGCTTCGTGTTTGCCACTGAGAAGATTGCACAGAGTGTCTGTAAAATTAAAATTCGCACATTAGCTACTTAGGAGGCACAGTGGATGATCTCAGCTTTATGATAAGTGCTTCCACGGGCCTCAGGGGGTACATATTAAAAATTACTCAAGCAAAGGTTTCCACAAAAAGTTTTACATCACCTTTCTGTCTTACCTAATTATAGTGTGCTTATTTACAGAGATGTATCCATGTTTCATCAGCTTATGTTATCTAATATCTTTAAATGCATGGAACAAAAAAAATGTATTGTTTCCCATTACGAAATCAAGCCATGGTGTGCCATAAATCCAAAGAAATACAAAACATTGTACATGGTTACTTGTTTCAACAAGTGGTATTGCTACATGTCCTTTTTATGTTTCAGTTTGTACCCTAGACTTAAGCATCTAGAGTAGGGTTGCCAAGTCTGATATTCGCCGCAGCGGGGGACTCCCGGCTGGCGGCTGGAGTGCGCGCGCGCACTGCATCCACGTCACTCGGAAGTGACGCAACCACGCTGGGAATGCTGGGGGCGGGGCCATGACCATCCGAGGGAAAACCATAGAGTTTTCCCTCGGATGACCGTGGCCCCGCCTCCAGTGTGCCCGGTGTGGTTGTGTCACTTCCGGGTGATGTGTACGTCGGGGTGGGGTTCCCCCTGGGGCCCGATCAGCCGGCAGCGGGGAATGGGCCTCTGGGCTGGGGGTTTCCCTACCGACCGGGGGGACTTGGCAAGCCTAATCTAGAGTCAGTTTGGTGTAGTGGTTGGGAGCGCAGACTCTAATCTGGGAGAATCAGGTTTGATTCCCCACTCCTCCACATGCAGCTGCCGGTGTGACCTTGGGTCAGTCGCAGCTCTCTCAGAGCTATTCTCTCAAGAGCAGTTCTCTTAGAGCCAGGCCTGTAGCTACAGTGGGGCCTCTCAGGGTCCGGCCCCCCAGTTTACCATCAAGGCCCCCTAACTTCCCATCCAGCCCAGCCCCCCCCCCAACTAGGGAAAGGAGATTGTAAGCCCCTTTGAGACTCCAAGTGAAGGGCGGGGCATAAATCCAATCTCCTCACACATATTAGGATTATGCAAAAGTTGTATTGAACACATATTTTAAGAACAAAAACACACAATGCTGTCTTCCCTCAACAAAGGTTCATATTCCTAAAAGTCATCCCAGCATCATTTTGGGCTCTGTGGCCCAAAGTGCCACACTTTGTTCAATGGGCAGTAGCAACCTTCAGGAAGAGGGAAAGTGGGCATCATTCTTATACTGATCCCATAGTGGAACTGCAGGAATTAGGGTACTGCTTCTTTCAGAAGCTACTGGTTGATGGTGGGAAAGACAAGGTATTAATATTTAAATAAATAAAGATAAATCCACATTTCCTTATGTTCTTTACCTTACCCCGGGGCCGTAGCCAGGTTTTTTTTTAAATTTTGGGGGCCATTTAAACAAGTGGGGGGGCACCCTTGCACACACCCCATGAAGTCCAGCAGTTTGTTGCCGGCCAGAGGCCCCAGGGAAGCTCACGGGTAGGGCTGGAATAGGGAGCAGACATGCCCTGTGGCATGCCTCGCTCGCAGCCCGCCAGAGGTACACTGCCAGCAGGCAGGCCAGGGGGACAGCTTGGCTTGGTGTGACCATGGTGTGCGTGAAAAATAGAATAAAATAAACTGTCTGGATAGGAAGTCTGGAGGCCTGGGCAGTAAGTTGGGGGGGCCAGCCCCGAGATGCCCCCACTGTAGCTACAGGCCTGCCTTTCTCACATCTTTTTGGCAGGCAGAAATTCAATACAAGAAGCTCTTTCCATCCTGGAATCTCCATGGAAAGAAAAGTTTTGTTGTTGCTGCTGAATTTTTGCCTGTTATATCATTGTTAAAGCATATGAACTCTGACAGGAAAAAGCAGAAACAGTGCCTTCATGTATAAAATGTACAGGAGTTCAAGACTGTTAATAGTTTAAACAGGGTTAGTTAAGCTGAAGTCACTCTGCTTTACGTTAGTCCAGTCCCTTATTTTTTTATCATCATTTTCTTGAGAAAATGGAGTGGTAACTTTTTCTTTAGAGCTGTCTGACTGTATTTCCTTTCCCTTTAATCAGTGCATATTGCAGCATAAACTGCAGAATCATTATTTTCGGGAAGCTCAGAGGGCACTGTGGCTTCTGGTGCTCACACTGTGACACAAAAGGGGGACGATTTCATGCCACCCTAAAAGGATCAGGAAATGGACATTGCTAACCCTAATACTGCTTTTAAGCTTTAGGTGACAGCACTGCAAGGATAAGGACTTGGTTTGATCATTATATAAGGAGCACATGGAAAATCTGGTTAAGTTAGCACCGAGTTTGTTGTTGTTGGACTCATGGCCATCTTACAAGGCTTTAAAAGCTATGGAGACCATCCAGGCTGTGGCTACAACGTGTGATAACCTTGTAAAATTTTTAAATAGGGATCCCGCATGTCTAAGTATGGAAAGGGTTCAGGGAGACCTGAAGCAAAGGGGTGCAGGGAAGGTCAAGGGGCACTGGCCCACACACCAAAGGAAAGGCCAATATTTGGAACTGAAAAAGTTCTGGCAAAGGGTTACCCCTGAACTTCCTAAATAATGCAAAACTCATTGAATCTCAGCAAAAAAGGGAGAAGTATATCTGTTTTAAAGTTTCTGGGGAAAATCAGAAGGCCTGAAAGAGGAAATGATCATAGGGGAGTTGGTTGTTGCCTCAGCTCAGAGGAGACGCTCCCAACCATTTCACTCTGTCACTGTCTTCTGACAGCAGGTGAAGACTTCTTTGTTTTGTTGCATGTACCCCCAGTAGAATGTTACTGGTCTTCCTCCCTGGTTGTGTTTTTGTTTGTATGTTTTTATTGTATTGTTAAATATTTACATTTTGGATAAAATTTTAATGCCTTGATGTTTGCCACCTTGGGGACCCAATTTGGGTGGAAAGGTGGCATATTAGGGTTGCCAGGGCAGCAGGAGAGGAGGACGGACTTTTCGGGAGTGGGGGGGAGCATGCAACGTAATGATGTCACATGGAAGTGTCATCATCACACATACTGTTTTTTTCCAGCAAAATTCTATGGTTACCATAGAGTTTTGCCCCCCACCCAACCAGGGCTTTGCTGACATGATGAAATCACTTCCATGTGATGTCATTACGTCGCATTTGGGGGCAGGATTTCCCCCCGCTGAACAGTTGGACAGCAGTGGGGAAGAGGCCCGAAAATCGGGAGATCCCCTGCCCCCAACTGGAGAATGGCATCCCTATGGCATATATATATGTTTTAAATAAATAAGTATATGTGGAGACACACAGGTGGGCTGGTTCACGCAGTGCTCAAGCCCATAGGCTGGACATGCAGTTGAACATGAGAGCTCACCTCTATGTCATGTGCTTCCCCACCCTGTGCATATAACTTTTAATAGCGACACATGCAGTGGCCTTACACTGTCAAAACATTGGTTTATCAGGGTCCGTGCTGTGCACTCTGACTGACAAATGCTCTCCAGGGTCTCAGGCTGAGGTCATTTGCATTCTCTACTACCTGATTCTTTTCACTGGTGTTGCTGGGGACTGAATTTGGGACTTTCTATATACAAAGCAGAGGCTCTGCCACTGAGCCACAGTCCCTCCCTTCAGTGTGAGTGCTTGTGCAAGAAGTCCCTGTTCACAAAATCTGACTGCAGGATTTCTTATTTGTGTGTGTGTGGCGGATTATTTGATAAATTAAAGCACAGCTTGATGATTCAGTGCAGTGAACTGAAAGTGAGAACTATTTAATTTACTCACCACAGTCTCTCTACTACATAATTTAATGATACTATGTGATATGTTCCCAGAATTGTGTCAAACAGCGGAAAGTTTTAAAGTATTATTTTTTTTGCAACCTCTGCACAGGGTATGGAAAGCGGGGTGGGGGGGAGGAGGTGCTTGCCTTCTCTCTGGTTCTTTCCTCACACTCTGCCCTGCTGGCCAATGTGTACTGTCTGAGTCTAGTGCCAACCAGAAGTGTCCCAAAGTGTGCTCTTTTGCAATCTTGGTCGATTTCTTGCTGATGGAAACACTCCAAACCTGAGCTTCTTGTCTGCTCCGCTTGCTTTGGCTGTGATTCCCTCTAACCTTTATACTTTGTACACCCCACAGTGACAGCATGTAGCCCAGGAGTGGCAAAGTCCAGACCATACCTATTATAGCAATTTATACAAAATGGGTATGAATCCTATTGAAGAACTTGCCCTCTGTTGCTGAAAGGCAAATCTACATTAAAATCTCCATGGATATGTATATATTCATTGCCTCAAGACAAAAAGGTGCAATCCAAAGGAACACTTCCCCAGGAGTAATCTGCATTGAATAAAAGGGGACTCTCTTCTGAGTAGAGCAGTTTAGGATTGCTCTCCTAGGTTGCTACTTTTTCTGGCCTGGCTCCTGTGCTTCTAACTGCTTTGTGATTGTCTGGAATTCAACAGGTGAACTTATTAAACTGCCTTCTGCAAAAGACGTACTGTTGGTCTACCTAGCTCAGTACTGTCTCATCTGATGGGCAGCTGCTATCTAGGGAAAGGCCCTGCTCTAGAGGCAGTTCAGTTTATTGAACTAGCTCAGACCATTTTGTTCAGCTGTCTGGTCTTTCATGACATAATGCCATGCCCATACACTGAACAAGGTGCCTACTTTTAAAAGTAGGGTTGCCAACCTCTAGGTGGCACCTGA